GTACACTGCGATAGATTACTTGGTTTTTGTTTGTTTTAGGGGTACACTGCGATAGATTACTTGGTTTTTGTTTATTCAACAGGGATCAGGCTTAGTATTTGCCTGATGGTTAGGGCGTTCGACTCGCAATCTGTGGGTCGTGGGTCCGAAACCCATAATCGAACATGCTCGTCCTTTCAGTCGTTCAGGGGACGATATAATGAGACGGTAAATTCCACTAGCTAATTAGAATAGCCCATTGCTTTGTGGGGGGTGGTGTTGACTGGCTTATTTTTCTCTAGTCTATCACTTTTAAATTGGGAATGGCGAGCGCAGGTAGTCCTCGACCAGCTTTACTCACAGTTTAACTACATTATTGAAGTGTTATATTGAAATTTGAGTTTTTAGCTATATACCAGTTTGAGTTGATGTTTTCCCCTACTATGTGGTGTTTATCCAGAATCTTCCTTTCTGTAGGCCGTGGATAACATCGAATCCAAACTTCCGTTCTCTCACGATGACCGATTTGGTTTTCTAACTTTTTGCCCAACCAACTTGGGCACAACCATGAGAGCCAGTGTCCATATCCAGCTGCCTAAACTGGCCAAAGATCGTAAAGTCCTGGAAGATATTGCATCAAAGTTCAACTTACAAGTCCGAGGTCAGTGGATATTTGAATCAGATCGAAATTTCCTCAAAATTTAAATATTCTTGAAACATATTTTTATGACTGCTTTTAAAGTGGGCGGAATAGGTTTTGAAGGACCAAGTTTAAATGACTAGCTTAGTAGATAATTTAAAATGTGTGTAATGTTTCTCTGTGTGTCTGTCCCAATGGATCAGCGATAAAGTTATTAACACGCAGTGTTAAAATCCGAAATTCGAATCCCATCGTTGGACAAACTATAGATAACTCATTGAGTAACTTTGTATTCAGAAAGCAACAACAACTTTGCTTTTAATTGTGGAAATTACTAATGCCTTAGTTACAAAATAGAAATAATGTAAATCGAAAGGCGACAGATGGCGCTTTTTAAGTAAGATTCGCCCAAAAATATGTTGGGAGTTACCATTGGTTAAATATAATCACGCGATGATTAGCAAGCCCCGCCTATTAAAGGAATGTTAAATTGGTTCTACTTGGTGGTAAAAATCGTATGTTGAAAAGGGTTAACATATAAATTAACCGAAAATACTTATTCATTTATAAAGCATTGTTTAACTTTAATAAAAAAAATAATGGCGTTTCTGGTGAATTAGCAACCTGTTTTCTATCTTGGGTATTTGAAAGAAGCAGATTTTTAAATGTTATTATTTTAAACCTAAAAGTTGTAGTTTATGGCTCGTAAACGTTGTGTGGAGGATACAGAGAATTATTTTCGGTTCCAGGCACCCGTGGTGAGCACACCGAGAGTGAAGGTGGAGTCTATGATATCTCCAACAAGCGACGTCTCGGGCTCACGGAATACCAAGCCGTTCGAGAGATGCAGGACGGGATTCTGGAGATGATCAAGATGGAAAAGGCTGCTGCCTAAATTTCCTGAATGAAAAGCACGTTTGCTCTTTTTTTTTTTAACCAAAGATTCACTTGTCTAGAGGAAGAAGGTCCCTTCTGTAAACGTTGCTCCTGATTGCCCTATTTATATTTCTTTTCTTTCTTTTTATAAAACTAAGTTATATTGGTAGTAAAGAGTTGAAGTTATCTATTTCTTCCATGAGCCAAATAATGGAAGGATATGTAAATACATATACGTTTAGCGCAGTAGATTTCCAAAATACAACAGCCCTTGGTAGGTTATCACGCCCTTATTTTGTCCTGTTTTGTGTAGCTTATGTAGCCTTCGTCACCAGATGGAGTTCTTGTAAGAAAAGACTTCCTACAAAATGTGAGATTCCATCTCTCTAGAGTGCCGAAATCTCCACCTATGCAAGTTAGTTTCCAAGAGTGTTCGCTATACTTCACAGAATTTAAGAAAGAATCCAAGAAACATGTAATAAACCAAATGCTGAAACTACTAATATTTGCCTCTTTTTTTTAATTGTTTAAAGTTTTCCAAAACGGCGTTACAAACTACGTATAATTCTAATTGTACTCCCAGATATAACTATAATTTTACTTCAGTGATATTTTAAAGTCACTTTCAGATAAGGCGAGTCAAAAATATGAAACTTGGTAGCGACATCTATAGGAAATTAAATGCTCATAGGACCAAAGAGCAGAAACAAATATCTTCACATATTTGTATCAAAACGCTACTTATTTGTTATTATTCTTGGCAAATTTTGTAAAATAATTATTGATTTTAAATTTAAACATAAACTAACTCGTTCTTTAGTCTTTAAACTTGAGAAGGTTATTTCTCTGTATAAAACAATAGTTCTTAAACTTATGCTACTTGTGCCCTATTTTCTCTCCAATACAATATTATCCACGTCTTATTATTATTTTTGACCCAAATTGAAGTTCACTGTCATAAAAAGAAGAATTTTTTTCTGTCTGTAACAAGTTCCTGTCTATCCAGGGAAACAATCTTTACACCTTGAAATTTGTGTTATACTTCCCTGGTGCTACATTTGTGTTATAGTTACCTGGTGCTACATTTGTGTTATACTTCCCTGGTGCTACGTTTGTGTTATACTTACCTGGTGCTACGTTTGTGTTATACTTCCCTGGTGCTACGTTTGTGTTATACTTACCTGGTGCTACGTTTGTGTTATACTTCCCTGGTGCTACGTTTGTGTTATACTTACCCTGCTGCTACGTTTGTGTTATACTTACCTGGTGCTACATTTGTGTTATACTTACCTGGTGCTACATTTGTGTTATACTTACCTGGTGCTACATTTAGTTGCTACACAATTAGGTTGATTTCAGTTGCTCCCCAGCGGCTCAGCAATAAGTCTGTAGACTTACGACGCTAAAAATAGGGTTTTGATACCCGTGGGCAGAGCACAGATACCCTATTGTGTAGTTTTGTGCTTGACAGCAACCGAAACCAAATGATCCCAGTTATTTATAAACAATGAGATCATGTTCTAAGTCGCTTCGTTGTAACTGTGTGTCTGGGGGGGGAAACAATGAGATCATGTTCTAAGTCGCTTCGTTGTAACTGTGTGCCTGGGGGGAAATGAGATCATGTTCTAAGTCGCTTCGTTGTAACTGTGTGTCTGGGGGAGGGGGGGGAATCGGGAACAAAAAAATTTTGCAATTTTGCAGACGTTGTGCATAAATTCTCAAAGGTGTTTAATGTTTTTGTTTGCACATACACCTGCCCCTTATTGTTACTTTTAATAGCCAAATTGTGAAGTCGTTCGGAAATTCTTAAGTTCCAGAAAAGAATGCTAAAAAGGTATCGTAATTTTCGTTGTGATTCACTTTGAGATTGACTAAGGAGACAACTCCGTGCACCATTCTACAATACGTGTAACACTTGTAATTAACAGCTACATTGCTACCTATGTCACGTATCACAAAGTCACTTTGTTGAAAACGAGAACTTTCTAACAAATCTTAACTATTTAGTTATTATGTATCATTTTATGTACATGAGTTATGTCAGGAGAGATACAACATCCTCAAGGTTTCCTAAAAGTTGCTTGCCATAGTCTGAATGTCTTCACACGTTCGAGAATATTCTCCAACTATCCGCCCTGAATATCGATCTGGAACTGAAGACGTTCAATCCACATTAATCCACCACTACACGTACGTTCACCAATGCTCAGTGCCATTATTTAACGAGATTTTACAAAGAAACAAAAAAAAAGGCACTGTTAATTCTCAAAATATTACAACGGCAAAATATTGCACATATACAGTTAACATCTGGTGGATACGTATTATGCCTTATTTATATGCCTAAGTTATATGATCGTGTTTTTAATGTTGCGTAACAGTATAAACTAAATTATACAAGTAATTAGCTACCAACGTATCGTAGGTTTATCTGTTTCTGTAAAAATGATTAAATACATCTTACTCTAACAATTAACCGCAAATAATCAAAGAATTTTGTTATTGCTTGTTGGGTTTGTATTCCATTTCAATTCTTTTTAGTAACTATTGTCCTACCATCTAGTGAGACAAATAGCAACTATAAAACCAAATATAATATCTCAAATTGGTGAACTTGTAGTTCCTAAATACTAGAAAAACAAGTGACCCCCAGGACTTGTATTGGGTTCCGATACCCGTGGTGGACACAGCACAGATATTTCATTGTGTAGTAGCTTTGTGTTTAATTACAAACAGGCAAAAGAAAATCACTACCATATTAATTTCATCATTAATGCATTTAAGAAGGTAGACTGCACAATTCCAACGCTTCATTTTTCACCCTCTATTATAAAACGTGAAGTTGTTAAGTTATAACACTTCCTAACAAAGCTAGGCTTGTCGCGATCATGAAACATTTAAATTTCTGTTGAACATTCTATATTAATTCACGTTGTGTGTTTGTAAACCGAATGAGGAATTTTCGAATTTTATCTGTGGTCTTTAACACGTAGGTTTAAACATCACACTGAGAACGCTTTCTCGTGTTCTATTTTTGGAGCAACAAAATATTGAAACAAGTCTTTATTATATCTTATCTTTCGTGAGAAAACAAACTTTTTGAACAAGAACAATTCACCCTAACCCAGCTTTTCTTTGTGGGATTCCCTAGCGTAACGCAATTCATACTCACTAGGGGATAAAATCTCTATCATAAGTCCTCCCGTAGTGAACATAGATGTTAGAGGTATTAGAATCTCGGTGGATCACATCATGAGTGAGATATGGTAAATAATGTAGTGCGTTACTGTAAGAATTGTTCTAGTTATTTCGAAACGTTATACAATGAATACGAACATCACACAAAACTGTCGAGAAAAGCCTTGCTGTTTTTAAATACTCAAGTACAACCTTTGTTCAAACAGTAATTTGCATTTTCAATTTAAGATGGCAGCACAATGGTATATTTGTTCCTGTTAAAACAGTAGCCCTTCAATATTTTCGTCTTAAGATGGCAGCACAATAGTATATTTGTTCATGTTAAAATAGCAGCCCTACAATATTTTCGTCTTAAGATGGCAGGAAAATAGTATATTTGTTCATGTTAAAATAGCAGCTTTACAATATTTTCGTCTTAAGATGGCAGCACAATAGTATATTTGTTCATGTTAAAAGAGCAGCTTTACAATATTTTCGTCTTAAGATGGCACCACAATAGTATATTTGTTCATGTTAAAATAGCAGCTCTACAATATTTTCGTCTTAAGATGGCAGCACGATAGTAACCTTTTAATGTTAAAATGGCAGTGTCAAAATACATATTCTCACGTTAATATAGCAAAAGTAGACTTCACATATTACTATACCTCGTCGACATGAGTTCCCTTATTTCCAAGACTTTTATTTTCCTTTTCCTTAAACAGGCTGAGAAATACATTCAGAATATTTCATATATATATATATATATATATATATA